AGGTATATTAGAAACCTCATTTTAATGAAGGAAATTAATTTTAGATGTCACAGTGGTTCTGGTTGATGCTCCCCACACCCCCCTCTATCTTTCTCCAGGGTGGCCAGTGTGTACCCGAGGTGATAGGGTCCCCCAAATGACTTATTGTTATGTTTTTCAGGTATTTCCCCCCTCCCCCCCACTCCCAGTCCTAATTCCCAGGTCCTGCTGAGTGGATGGTATTGAGGCTGGCTTCTCCAGGTAGTCCCTCCAGACTGGGTTGCAGTTTAGATTGAAGGGGTCCTTCACAGTGGACACCATTTTGTTTCCCTCTTCCCTTCTGGGATTGTCCACATGATCCACTGTATTGACATTCTCTGTCTCTATGCCAGCTCAACTAAGAAGATGGAGACTTGATTATTTTGAGAGAATATGAACTAAGAAATAAGAAAATTGATGTCTTGTTCATTCTGTCTGTCCCAGTCTTACCCTGCTCAGTTTTGTGGATAGTCTTCTGAGAGGCCTAATCTCTCTGGAATTGCAACACTAAATAATAATTTTCTAGTAGAAAATTTTCTATGTGTTTTTTTCGGGGACTTTATTACTTCTCAACGCTGTGTGCTATTGCTTTAGGAGTTTTTCTTGTTAACACTGTTTTCTATAGATAAAAATCTATTTTAAAAGTCTTGCATTACATACTTCCATATGATTATTTATTCTCCATTCCTCCTTGTTTTTTCTTTGCAATGCACTTTCCTTCTGGATATATAGAGAATAATAATTTGTTAGGTGTAGTCGTATGCCTAGGGGTGCTGTATTCTTCCGATGTTCTTCCTCTATCCCCTTCTTCCTTTAACTAAACAGGGCATTGGGATTCTGTCATCTCTAATTTCTCAGGAAGATGACTGCCATACTTAAATAAGAGAGTTGCCATAGTTACCAGAGGAAATCAGTGGGAACTGCCCAACCCTAGTTTAATTGTGCACAAGGTAAGGGTCTCTGGAGACAGCTGAGCCAGTGGGAATACTGATGTCTAGATTGGCACCTGAGAGGGTCTTTATTAAGGGAATTGTCTTAAAGGATTATGGAACCTCATTCCCAGCACAGGCCTTCTATAAGCAGAGAATGAGAAAGGCTAGTGGGTACACAGTGGTTCCCAGTGCAAGGCCCAGTCCCTGAGAACCCGGAGTGTGGAACTAGAGTGCACATGGGACCGACTTCCAGAGCTGGAAGCTGTAGAGCCAAAATCAGGAAAGAAGGGTACCCATTTGATGGAATAAATTCACCTTTCCTTTGCCTTTTGATGTTCTGGGCCCTCAACTGATTGGGTAGTACTTGCTCCATTGGATGAGTGTGAATCTTAAGTCTATTGATTCAAGTGGCCAGTTTATTCAGGAAATGCCCTCCCAGACACTCTATAGTGCTTACCAGCCATCACAACCATTCTTAGCTAGGGACAAATGTCATTTGCAACACCTCTTTGAAAAGAAAGCAGTGGCTTTGTCTTTTTTGTATTCAACTATATTTTGAAATTTTATTTTGATTTCAGCTCAACCAGTAAATTATTGTTTCTTAGTATTCTGTGCCTATTAAGTATTTTAATTTGCTGTTGTAATTTAATACAGATCATAGATGCTTCTAGGTCTCCCTACTTTTTATAGCAATTATTCCCCAACTCCATCTTTCTTCCAGTGTAGTTTTTTTTATGTTTGTCACTTAATATTGTACATAGTCATGAGTTCCAGTGTGAATTCACGACATATATCCACCGTGCAATGATCAAAACAAGGAAATTAACATATCTGTAACCTCAACCATGTATCATTTCTTTGAGTTAGAAACACTTGAATCCTTTTTCATTTTAAAATGTAAATAGATCAGGAGTTGGTCATCCAGCTGTGCTGTAGAATGTTAGAACTTAATATATTTTATACCTCTAACCAGCTCTCTTTCTTCCCTCTATCTTTACGTGGCTCTGGCAATGCACTGTTCTACTATATATGTCCTCGGAGATCAACTCTTTTATCTTCCACTTATGAGTGACAACATACACTACTTGTCTTTTTTTTTTTTTAAAGAGCTGAATCCAGATCATCTTTAAAGTTCTTTTGAGCTTAACAGTCTAGATCCAATAATTTAAAGAAATGGATTTGCCACTTACATAAACAGGTATTTTCCTACACTTTTTATGTCTTCATTATTTTAAAATGTTGCTGATTGGGCTTGCCATACCCTTCT